GAGTTGGTGGTGGCTTCTTCGCCTCCTCCTTTTGCAGTCTTCTACGGGCTTCCTGAGCTTGAGCCCGTGCCTGCGCTGACATCGCGCGGCGCTTGCGAATACGCTCCTCGAGCGTCGAACGGTTCCGTTTGACGCGGACCCATTCGTTCTTTGGCGGCTTGGAAGAGTCGCCGTTCATTGGTGGTTGAGGCTGTTTGCCTCTTCTGTTCTTCAACTCCGCGTGGTAGCGGAATCCGTCCGTAGACTCCACCGCCTTAGCGAATTGCCACGCAAGGCGTTGACGACGCCTCTGGCGGGCTCTCTTTGAGAGAGTCACAACACCTTCAACAGTGGAGGCGTTGGCGGGAGTTGAGTTGACCTGATTGGAGGTCGGTGGAACTTCATTTGACGCAACTTCGGCGTCAGTTGGGTTGAGAGCTTCGTGGGCTTCCCGAGCAGCTTCAAACCAACGAGCTTTTCTCCCGGAGGAGAACTTCTTGGACTTGCGGGGGGAGATAGAGCCGGACGAGGACACGTACTCCTCGAACTTGGCTTGGTCGAACTCGTACTCGACCTCCTCCACGACCGGGATTGCAATCCGCGGCTGCGACGCATCGATCTCGTTGGCGAGATCGTCGGCTCCCACTGTGGTCGCCAGATTGTTCGCGTGGAAAACTGTTTTCTTTTTCATTGATATGATTGTCATCTTGGGTTACAAAGATCCGGTCTTTTATAGATCCGGTTACAACTAAATCAAAGAAAAAAAAATAAAAATTACAACTTTCCTCTTGTGAACAAATCGCAAGCTCCTGTTTTGCGGTTGCTTGCTTGTGTGGGTTCTTTGCCAACGCCGGGGTTAATCCGTGGACCACCGCGCGATCTAGATCCGGTCGGATCTACACGAGTATGCGGGTATTATTCCACGAAGGGAATAATAGCCGGGAGGGATTAATCCACCAAGGGAATAATCGCTCAGATCTCGAGATCTAAGACCAAGCTTAGATCTGGAGTGTAGTCTCGTGTAGATCTCAGATCTGTTCTTTCTTCCTCTCGAGATCCTGCCTTTTCTGACGTGGATGGTCGCCGAGGATCAGATCTGAATGGTGCAAGTCTTCTGGTCTTCAAGCTCCGAGTTCACTCTTCAATCCGGCAGAGTTTCGGCTCTTGAAAGTTCGACCCCTGAAAATGAACATCTCTAGGCCTATTTATAGGCTCTCAGGACAGTGGCTGCAAAAAGAGAATTGTCGGCCACCTCTGGCCACTGTCGGCCACCTCGGGCCACTGTCGGCCACCTCGGGGTGGCCGACACTGTGCCTAGCCACCTTGGGGTGGCTCGGCTCATGGCCGAGCCACCCCAAGGTGGCTCGGCCACCGAGCCACCCCGAGGTGGCTCGGC